TCATGAGCAAACCTCTCTTCTCTCACACGTGCAGAAAACGAATTCGGACGAATTTTCAGTTGCATGTGTCGTGCCAATAACCGCTACGGTAGATACGGCTGCATGTATGTACTCATATATCCATGCAGCACCGCAGCCGCTTCATATCAATCCCTTCGCTTCATATTGTACTTCGCAAATGAAGCGATACAAGCATCAGCATCGGTCGGACATTTGTGGGCGGGCGGGCGCGGTGGCGTTCGGGTTGATGTTACAGCTTGATAGGGCGCTATGAGGGTATCACCCTTGGAAAAGACGCCACTCAGCGCCTGCTCAGGGGCGTCGAATTCTGCCCTGCTAGATATATTAATGCTACACGTCTTGGGAATTTATCGTGCCACCTGCCTTTAATAGAACCGAAATTTTCACCGTTTAGCAACCATTTCTAGGAATGTGGCCGGCATACGTGGGCCCATACAACGATGTAAGAGAGCCGGTCCGGGATGTACAAGTAAGGGCTTTCATCCTTCCAGATGGCTGGCATCAAGGAACATCAAGGAAGGAGGAGGGGGGGGGGAGAAAGAAGGCCTGGTTAGCCAAAGCGAGAGCCGGTCCGGGATCTGACCAAGGATCGCGTGCCACGGTAAGCGTGCCACTTGCCATTACACCACCTGCGCCTTAGTGTAGTAATATAATACGCAATTATAACGCTAAATAATATAATGTGAATGTTGGAATGCACGAGATGTATGTGAAAAATGGGCGCAGTTCAGCTTGGTGGGGAGGGGTTATTTTGCTGGGATCTAATGCATCACTGCCGATGCCTCTTACGATTGGACTAGCTTCAATTACAATTGACTAGAGTCTACATTAAAGACAGCGCCCGCGATCGACTTTGGCAGGTTGTAGGGCTCAGAATTGTTAGAACATGTGGCAATTAAAGCATTAATCAAAAAAAGTAACAAAAAGCGCCGCAAGAACATAGAATAAGACCCTGTTCGATCGGACGCATCTGGACGAGTTTCGCAGATTTTGGGTGAGTTCTCCAAAACCGCCTCGTTGCGGCTAATTCTCATGAGGCCACTACCTAGGTTATCTTATCTAATCTAATTAATCTAATTTAGCAGTTATCAATGCCAGCGAGGATTGATAATGGAAAACCAATCGAGGCGGGATTAACACGACAGGCGGAGTCAGCTTATCATTGTTGACTCCGCCTTCGTCTATCAATCGATTTCGAGTCCCAGGAGTGGGATATCCTCTGTGGTTGCGGACTCCGCGATCTTGTACAGTACAGGGTTTCTTCACCTTGGTTGATCGCGGACGCTGTCTTTAAGGTGGAAGTGTAAGATGTTAAGGACTAGCAAAAGAAGCAAGCTAATCAGAGAAATGCACCTCAAACCTAACAGCGTCAGAAACCAATCTTTTCATTTTCATTCCATCCACTGACTGACCCCCTTTGAGATAAATGGACTCAACCAAGACTCAATGAAGGGAAAGGTAAGGCATGGGCAAGCCCCTCGATATGAATAACGGTAGAGCTCTACTCCCTTTTTAAGTATTTCAAGTATAAAATAATGGAAAAATACCTATTTGACAGCGGCAGAAACTGCAGGAGAAACCGTTGATATTTTTTGGCGATTTCTTCTGCTTTAAGGTTGCAACAGCAAATAATGCACGAGATAAACCATACTGTTTGCATAAGAAGAAGGCCACGAGCGGTATATAGCGCTATATACATTGCTGAAAAGGATTAAGGACAATGCTCCCTAAGCGGATAGCAGTGTTCGTTCAACTCCTTCGACATGTTTGTCAAAGTGTCAGTCTATTCGCTGGTCCATGCGGAGACATGGGAAAATGAGCAAACGAAATGACTTTGAATCATTTTCCCATTGATGAAATTGCCTTATCCTTCTTTTTTTTATAATGGGCCAACCACTGTGCCGACCCACTGGTCGTGTTCCTTTTCGAGCAGCAGTTAGCAGCAAAGAGAGGACAGTTAGGAGGATGCAAGTGCAGCCTGTCTCCGCCCTCCAGCTCAGCGTGGACTCTGCTTCCAGCCATAAAAAAGCAACCTGTGCTAGGCGGCGGCAATGGTGTAGACAGTCCAGGAAATGTCATCGAACTATTTGAGTACGACCGCCAAGAATGACATTTTATGACGTCCGTTTTCAAGCAGTCATCATTCAGTCCGCGCTGTAAACAGTACAAATTGAAAAGAGTACACAGGCAAAAACAATGGTTGGGGCATGAAATGATACTGTCAGCGATGGCTTCCTACAGGTCACTGCAAAAAACCGCGTAGAGGTAAACGCAGTGTTACTTGTGCCTATTTGCGTAGGCTTTACACAAGAGTTTGCAAGTCTCACCGCATAAGAGAGACCTACGGAGCTATAGAGGAGGAAAGTAGCAAAAGTGCCAAACCCACTCAAGCGACAAATGGTGCCCGATCAAAATGGGAATTCTCGATTACGGCGATTTTATAAATTGACAAAGTGTCCAGAAAGGGAACCACCTTGAATTTCGTTTTCGTCGTTATGAAATACCAACCATGCATTATTTCTATATCCGAATATCATTAAAACTTCAGCAATAATAGAACATGAAACGGAATACATATAGGTGCAGATTTTTGACCCCTTCTGGCATCGGGCATTTCTGAAAAGATTTTTTAGTAGAATTTATCAGTGCCGGAAAGATTGAAACAGTAAATTTAAGATTTTGCTACCACTGGCGCTATATGTGGAAAGTAAGATCAAAAACGCAATGGGAATGTGCCACTACAGTGGTCTGGGGACCAAACCCTTGACCGGTTTGACCTCGGGCACTTTCAGAAAAGCGTTCCGCACCTGAGAGGACAGAAACAGGTAATTGTACATCCCGCAAATCAGTGTATAAGCCGAGCATTCATTCAAGTATCACTGCATCTCCGAATAGAACCGAGCTGGTGGCTCATCCCCGAATAGAAACGCCTGGTTCATGTGCTGATCGTGTTTTTTATGCGAGGAGAGCACTTATATAGGCTGAAAGTGGCAATGCACTTGAAAGAAAGGAAGCTGGGGTGAACATCAGGTCTTTGTCGTGACCGCTAAAGATCTCTAAAACGCCGTGCAACTGATCATCAGTAGCGCTGACTTGAAACTTGGCTATAGGATTGATTCTTTGGCCATTGACGATCGGACCGCTGGTCCTCGATCTTACCCTACAGAGTTCGTCAAATAGGACCAGCACTGGACCTCAGGGCGCTCGGGATTTGACTTAACCTGTGGGGTCGAGTCATGAGAAGCACATCGTAGCCCTTAATGCCCGAATAACTGGACTTGAAGGGTCTCCTAGTACCCGAGTTACGGTACCCAAAAACCTGCCCTCAAATGACTCAACAGTGAAATTTACTCAGCTTGCTTTCTTCGTGATTTTGTGCGCATGGTGGACTGCTTTAAGAAAGCGCAACGAATCAATCAATGAACACGAAATGCTATCGGCACTAATAAAGCCCTCCTTGAAAAGAACCCTCTGTTCCCATTTGGAAACTTGTTGCATTTGGCATCTTCAGGTGATGGCAACAAAATAAGTGGGTTTGTTCAGCTGATGTATTCACGGAGCAGTGTTTCTATAACCCTACCCCTCACTCTACCCAATCACGGACCGAAGAAGCAGTCCCATTGGACCGGAGGCGCTACTGTTCCGAGATCTGTCCACCCTTTTATGAGCGGCATGACAAGATTCTACCCAAACCTTTGAAATAATGTAAAGTAGGCGAATAAGTGACTGCTCCGGTAACTGGTCCTGCGAGCTCGGCCTGTTCTGGCTGCGGCTGAGTGCTGTTGTAATGTCCCACGCAGGGAGCTCGCAGGACCAGTTACCGGAGCAGTCACTTATTCGGCCTACTTTACATTATTTCAAAGGTTTGGGTAGAATCTTGTCATGCCGCTCATAAAAGGGTGGACAGATCTCGGAACAGTAGCGCCTCCGGTCCAATGGGACTGTTTCTTACGGCCCGCGTGATTGGCTAAGGTGAGGGGAGGTTATAGAAAACACTGCTCATGAATACATGCAGCTGAACAACACCCACTTATTTGTGGGGCCCATCCCCTGAAATCGCCAATGCAACAGATTCTAAATGGGAACAGAGGGTTCTTTTCAAGGAGGGTTTTATTAGTGCCGATAGTATTTCCTGTTCATTGACTGATTCGTTGGTAAAGCAGTCCACCATGCGCACAAACATCACGAAGAAAGCAGCTGAGTTAAATTACTATTGGTCATTTGAGGCGGTTTTGGGTAGCCGTAACTGCGGTACTCGAGACCCTCAAGTCCAGTTATTCGGGCATTAAGCTACGATGTGCTTCTCATGACTCGACCCCACAGGTTAAGTCAAATCCCGAGCGCCCTGAGGTCCAGTGCTGGTCCTATTTGACGAACTCTGTAGGGGCAAGGATCGAGACCAGGGTCCGATGTCAATGGCAAGAGTCAATCCTATAGCCTAAGTTCAAGTCAAGCGCTCTGATATCAGTTGCACGCGTTTTAGAGAGGTCTTTAGGGTCACCGACAAGACCTATGTTACCCGCTCCTTTCTTCAAGTGCATTGCAGCACTTTCAGCTATATAGTGGCTTCCTCGCAAAAAAAAAAAAAAACAAAAAAAAAAAAAAAAAAAAAAAAAAAAAACACACACGAATCAGCACATCGAAACTCAGCGTTTCTATCGGGATGAGCCACCAGCTCGGTTCTATTCGGAGATGCAGTGATACTTGAATGAATGCTCGGCTTATACACTGATTTGCGGGATGTACAATTACCAAGGGGGGGGGGGGGGGGGGGGGGGGGTTCTGTCGCTAAGCAAGGTGCGGAACGCTTTTCTGAAGGCTGAGTCCAAAGCTAGTCAAGGGTTCGTCCCAAAAGACCACTGTAGTGGCACATCCCATTGCTCTACTTTCCACATATAGCGTCAGTGGTAGCAAAATCTTAACTTTACTGTTTCAATCTTGCCGGCACTGATAAATTCTACTAAAAACTTTTTTCAGAAATGCCCGATGCCGAAGGGTCAAAAATCTGCACCTATATGTATTCCGTTTCATGTTCTATTATTGCTGAAGTTTTAATGATATTCGGCTATAGAAATAATGCATGGTTAGTATTTCATAACGACGAAAACGAAATTCAAGTGAGTTCTCCTTTTGGACATTTGTCAATTTATAAATCGCGTGAAATCGAGAAATTCTATTTTGATCGGGCACCATTTGGCTTGGAGGGGGTTTGCACTTTTGCTACTTCCCCCTCTTGTAAAGCTACGAAATAGCACAAGTAACACTGGTTACAAGAATCTACGGGTTTTGCAAGTGACCTGTAGAAGCATCGCTGAGTATCATTTCATGCCCCAACCAAGCCGAATTGCGCCTCTGAATCTTACATTGTTTTTTGCTGTGTACTTTTTCATTTGTACTGTTTACAGCGCGGACTGAATGATGACTGCTTGAAAACGGACGTCATAAAATGTCATTCTTGGCGGTCGTACTCAAATAGTTCGATGACATTTCCTGGACTGTCTACACCATTGCCGCCGCCTAGCACAGGTTGCTTTTTTTATGGCTGGAAGCAGAGTCCACGCTGAGCTGGAGGGCGGAGACAGGCAGCACCTGCATCCTCCTAACTGTCCTCTCTTTGCTCTTCACTGTCTCAAAAGGAACACCGACCCAGTGGGTGGGCACAGTGGTTGGCCCATTATAAAAAAAGAAGGATAAGGCAATTTCATCAATGGGAAAATGATTCAAAGTTATTTTCGTTTGTTCATTTCTCCCATGTCTCCGCCCATATGACCAGCGTAGATTGCACACTTTGGAACAGCATGTCGAGGAGTTGAACGAACACTGCTATCCGCTTAGAGAGCATTATCCTTAATCCTTTTCAGCAATGTACATAGCGCTATATACCGCTCGTGGCCTTCTTCTTATGCAAACAGTATGGTTTATCTCGTGCATTATTTGCTGTTGCAACCTTAAAGCAGAAGAAATCGCCAAAAAATATCAACGGTTCCTCTTGCAGTTTTGCGCTTCAATAGGTATTTTTCCATTATTTTATACTTGAAATACTTAAAAAGGGAGTAGAGCTCTACCGTTATTCATATCGAGGGGCTTGCCATGCCTTACCTTTCCCTTCATTGAGTCTTGGTTGAGTCTCCTTATCCAAAGGGGGTAGTCAGTGGATGGAATGAAAATGAAAGGAGTGGTTTCTGACGCTGTTAGGTTTGAGGTGCATTCCTCTGATTAGCTGACCGCTCGTTAGGTTTTGAGTTTGATTTGATTTCTTTATTGAATGATTTGATTTCTCCTGACTTAAGCTTGCCTTCTTTTCGCTAGTCCTTAACATCTTTTATTCTTCCACCTTAAAGACTAGCGTCAGTATGATCAACCAAGAGTGAAGAAACCCCTGATACTTGTAGCAAGACGCGCGGAGTCCGCAACCCGCCTGGGAGATATCTCCACTCTCTGGACTACTCGAAATCGAATTGATAGACGAAGGCGGAGTGAACAATGATAAGCTGACTCCGCCTGTCGTGTTAATCCCGCCTCGACTGGTTTCCATTATCAATCCTCGCTGGCATTGATAACTGCTAAATTAGATTAATTAGATTATGATAAAATAACGCTAGTACGTGCCTTATTGAAAAAACAGAGATAGCCGCAACGAGGCGTGCGATAGGTTTTGGAGAACATGAGCCCAGAGATGGTGCGAAACTCGCTCCGAGAATGAGGTGATAGGGACTTTCTTAAAAGATCTCACTTCACACCTATCATGCCTCTCGGGGAGACTCGCCTGCGGTGTTGCCTGACTTAATTGCTCTCTCACTAGCTCCTGACCTTTCTGTACTTGATGATTACATCGTGATGAGTTGGTTACTTGCTGGGCTAATTTTCAGACACTTATATAGAACTAAGGACTACAATTGAAAAGTTCGAATCACATGAAACAGAGATGAAAAGCATGCTAAAATGAATTAAAATGTAACACATAAATCAGGCGCTTAGTATGTAGATGTAGTAATAATCTAATGACATTTTTCTGACACAATATTTTTCCTGTCCCATTTGAGATGCGCATTATTTCGAAGGCATACAAGCATCGAAGTTCAAAAAGAAAACGTGCACAAAGGGAAAGGGAGTGGTGTACTGCCGGAGACATCATGGAAAATCAGAGAATTGGTGGGAACGGAATAAAGGGAGGAGTTTTATCGTTCATGCTCTACTCTGCGTTACACAAACAACATTGCTAAAGATTCCGCTGAGCACACAGCCGCCTTAAATAACTGAATTAGCAGACGACTTTATATAGTTGGAGGTTGAATAAAAGAGATGACCTAATAGTTTAACCGTAAGTGTCGGTCATAATTTAAACGAATTTACCTCGCTAGCAGAGACATCAACCCAATAAAAGTCCTTGCAATTGCAGAGACGTTCTTCGGCGCAAGATCCAACATCAACCGTCAAAAGTAATTACAGAGCCTAGAAGTTCAGATCATTTGGATACCTTCCATGATGAAAGCAATACGAATTTTTTCAATACGTGCCCCTTTTTTCCTATTTGGATTGCGGTAGTTTCATGTTGTGTACGTCTGCATTTCAGTTGTTTGTAATCTGTAGTTAAATATGAGTTTTTTGATCATTTTCTACTTTCCATGTTCAGTTTGGCTCAGTTGTGTCTGTAGACGAGAGGTCAGGAGTTAGTGAGAGAGCAATTAAGTCAGGCAACACCGCAGGCGAGTCTCCCCAAGAGGCATGATAGGTGTGAAATGATTATTTAAGAACACCACCACACACGTCAGAAATGCGTACGATCGGACAGTCTTATTATGTTCTCGGGCGCTTTTTGTTTACTTTTTTTGATTGATAGCTTTAATTCCAATGTCCCAACGATTCTGTAGCACTACAAACTTGCCAAGTCCGATTCGCGGCGCGCTGTCTTGAAATGTAGACCCTATGTCAATTGATAATTGAAAGACGTAGTCCAATCGTCCCTTAAGAGAATCGGACCGTGATTGCAATTAGGTCCCCAGCAATAGTAACCCCCCACACCAAGTCTGAACTGTAGACTGATCCAATGATTCCAGCCTATTGCGGAGAATAATTAGTGATTTTTGTGGGCAAGATCTCCCGTGTTTGGTGGCAGGCGATTTTAATCTAGCCGACATTGATTGGAAAACCGAACGAGGTAGCGATGACTGTAGCCACACCTCTAAAGAATTTGTTGATTTATTTCGCACGCACAACTTTGTAATACAAGTTATTGTTTGAGAACCACCAGGGGTTCCCACTGGAATAGACTTAATTCTTGCAGCATGATGACTCAGCTAGTTTAAAGAGGATGTGGAAGGACTCCCCCCAATCGCAGCAGCGACCATGCCTCAGTTTGATTTCAAGTTTGAACCTTAGCCCCAATTCAGCTGCTTCCGAGAGATGGGTGAGAGATTTCAACGAGGCTAATTACGCGGCAATTGAAAGATACCTGAGCAATATTGACTGGATCGGTTCCTTCGCTACTGCGGACTCATTAGAGGAGAAATACGAGTTGTTCATTTCAATACTTCATTATACTATGGATATGTTTGCTCCTCTTCGAAAGACCAGAATCGCAAGGTACAAACTTCCTCGGTACCTTGAAAGAATGATAAGTCAGCGCAGGAAAATTTGGTCCTCTGCCGTAGCTGGGGGTAGTGACCGCATGTGGAGTAAATATAAGATTTTGGACAGCAGACTCAATAGGCGGTTGCTTAGATATAATGCCTATTTGGAAAAGAAGGTTGTCGAGTCAGGGGACTCCACAAAGTTATTCACATACATTAATAAACGCCTCAATGAACCCAAGAAAATTCCTGCCTTGCGTACCAGTCAGTCAAAAATCGTCATACTTGATGAAGAAAAGGCGGAGATATTAGCAGAACATTTCCAAGGAATTTTCGCGAAAGAAGACGATGTATTCTCTCATAAGTTCCCCCCCCTGTGGATCTACTATGGGTCCAGATCTATGGTTTCACAGAGATGAGATCTTCGACTTGCTTTCAAAATGGCCTAACTCCCATTCGGTAACACCTGACTTTATTCCCCTTCATCTCATCAAAAGGACTGCGCATTGTCTTGCTTTACCTTTGGAACTACTCTTTAATTTGTCATATATGAGATCGGAGGTCCCATCAAGGTGGAGACACTCTTTCATTGTTCCAGTTCCGAAAAAGCCTCCCTTTAGCAATCCTTCCAACTATCGGCCCATAAGTGTCACTTCTGTTTTTGCACGGCTTTTCGAAAAAATAGTCAAAGGTAAGGTGACTACTTATTTGAACCGAAACAGTCTTATTCCCACAAATCAGCACGGTTTCTCAACGGGTAAATCAACAGAAACTGCATTACTTACTTCTCTCAACGACTGGACTAGCGCACTTGATAGCAGAAAACCTATACACGTGGTATATTTTGACTTTGCAAAAGCGTTCGATCGGGTACCACACCGCAAACTCACTGCTAAGTTAGAATCGCTCGGGATTTATCCTCTCATAGTACGCTGGATTGAATCGTTCCTTTGCAATCGTACATACCAAGTGCGAATTGGGGATAGCTTTTCTTCAAAGTATTCGATCACTAGTGGCGTCCCTCAGGGTGGAGTCTTA